AAATGAGAAAATACCTTGAAAAAATGGAAGAAATAAAACAAAAAACAATTTGAAAATTGGAGGAAAAGACAAACAAAAAGAGCAAGAAATCAATAAATCTCTTAAAGAAAGCAGGGGAAGCCATGCAAGGCCAAGCCTCTTACATGCATTAATTCTGAGTATGGCATCCCACAATAGGCAATGGGTTCCTAAATCTATCTCAAGTTCCAAATTTGTATCACGGTATTATTGCCAGTGGCCTCCCAACTGTCTCCTACATACAGACTGCTTAGTTCAGTACCTTGAAGTCTCCACATCTGTCAGACTAGAGTTCTTGAGTTTCAATGAGCTTGGTTTAGTAGTTTCTGTAGATTTTTCCATCATGATCTTAATCTCCCTTGCTCCTGTATTCCCTCGTCCTATATGACTGGACTTCCAAGGCTTTGTGTAGTATGTGAATTGTGGATTTCTGTGATTGGTTTCATCAAGTACTAGATGAAGGGTCTATGATGATAGTTGGGTATTTGCCAGTCTGATTACAGAGATAGGCCAGGTTCTGCTTCCTCTCCAGTATTACTATGAGTCTCAAATGGGGTCATCCTTGTGGATTCTTAGGAATTACCCTTGTACAAGTTTTCTCCCTATCCCATAGTGACTCTCTCTTTTAAGTTTGCTGTTTTACTGATATCGCTCTGCACCACTCCCTCCCTCATCCATCCATTCCCCGATGTTCTCACCAGCCTTCCCCTTGCACTTAACAGCATTGTCCCCCAATTTACATAGGAGATCTGATCTAATTTCCATTACCTGGGTATTCCATGCATCCCTCTTAGGGTTGTCATTTTGCCTTGTGTCTCTGAAACTGTGGATTATAGTCTGATTTCCTTTGTTTTCCATATAATAAAGACTTATATGTGAATAATTACAAGGTTTATCTCTCTGACACTGGCTTATGTCACTGAGGATGGTTTTCACTAGTTTCACCCATTTACCTAAAAATTTCATGTGTTCATCATTTTTTACAGCTGTGTAGTAGTCCATTGTGTAAATGTCTGCCATTTTGCTCATGCAGCCTTCAAGCGAGGGGCATCTTGGTAGTTTCCAGGTCCTGGCAATTATGCATATTGCAGCTATGAACATTGTTGATCAAGTAGTCTTGTGGTATGATCAAGTAACCTTTGGGTATATGCCCAAGAGTGGAAACACTGTGCCTTGATTTAGATTGATTCACAGTTATCTTGTATCCTGATAAGGTAATGATTTTCAAAATGACTGAACAAGTTTTCACTCCCACAATCAGTGGGGTAGTGCTTCCTGAATCCACATAATCTTTAAAATATCCTGTCCTCACGATTTTTTAAATCTTTGACATTATGACCTCTGTAAGATGGTATCACAGTCATTTTGAATTACAATTCCATGGTTATTAAAGATAGTGAGCACTTCCATATATGTATTTGGGCTACATGAGATTATTCTGGCAAGAATTCTTTGTTTACATCTGTATCCCAATCTTTAATTGAGTTATGAAGTATTTTGATATCTAATATCTTATGTTTTCTGTATTTAGAACATAAGTCCTCTGTCATATGTAGGGATGGTGAAGGTCTTTTACCATTCTTTAGGGTGTCATTTTGAGTTATTTATGGTGTCCTTTGCCTTACAGAGATTTTGAGTTTCAGGAGGTGCCATCTAGTCATTGTTGCTTTCAGTGTCTGAGTGTTACTTGGGTTATAGTCAAGAAGAGGTCTCCTGTGCCAATGGGCTGCATACATACTGTGGTATATCCATTGCATGATATATCACAATATTTTCTGGCATCCAAAGTTACAGTATGCATGTGACATTTGCACACACACACACACACACACAACACACACATACACACTCACACACACACATGATAAATACCAAATACCAAGTTCTCCTGAACAGAAATGTATGGGTATATGATTTGGAAAGGTAAAAAGGAGCATTTTTTGTGATAGATATTTTCAGTAGAATAGCGGATTGTCAATGTAGTTTTGATTTGTGATTCATGAAACCTTTGGATCTTTAAAACTGTTACAATCTCATGTATGTCAGTATAATTAAAACATTAAAATTTGACACATAATTTTAAAATTCATGTATTGCCAACTATTAAAAGACTTAGAAAATATGTATTTAAACTGATGTATTACAAGTTGACAAAATTGTCCTCTATATTATGGTCCTGGATAGATGAACAAAACATAGAAATTTTCTCATTCTAGTTCTAGGAAATACAATGCTTTCTTTTGTCCTACATCGTCACCAGTCATGCAGGTGAAACAAATGCATATGTGTAGACAGACTATAATTACAATCTACCACAATATCTCTGTTCTTTCACTTCATTTTATGGTTCAGAGGGCAGTATTCTATCATTTCCTGTAGATAAAGGAACTGTTTTACAACAGACTTATTCAAAGCAAGTGCAGTGCCTTCATAAACTACTTATTATGATATCATTGAAACTTTGATTTATTTTTTAGTGTTATGGGAGGTTGATCCCACTATCTAAAGAATGCAAGACATGTGCTTTACCACCTAGTTGCCTCTCCAGCAACCATTATTGAATCTTGCTCTCTTCATTCATATTTATACATTTGAAGAGTTCATTCAGGCTAAATAACAATTAAGATACCATTGTGATATAGTACAATGCATTCCTGGAGGAAGAACAAAAGACGCTCACTTTGATGAATAGATGGGCCATGTGATACTTTTACTTTAAAAGATTAGAATAATTCTGCGTATTGATTTCTTTTTTGTCTTTGATGATTTTGATATTCAAAGTCCACTCACTTCTATGCCTCTAATATTCTTTCTTATGTTAAGAATATTTTCAAATATATGCTAATCTACACTCACAATTATACAGTATTTAGAGACTGTCCAAATTATACCTTCAATAATTGATCTACCAACGATGAGTTAATCAAGAAAAGAATATGATCAAGAGAAGAATATGAACAGCTTTCTCATTCATACAGACAAAATAAATTATGAAACAGTTTTTTCAGATAAGCATCATTTCTAAAGATTTTTAAAATTTATTTTACATTTTTCTTCATTTATTTTTCATTTTTAAAATTAAAATCTGACCAGGTAATTTTTGTGCCCCCATTTTGATAGATTAAATAGCTGCAATAGTCCTCCTTCACTTTAGCTCTCTCTCTTTTTCTCTCTCAAACTCATGAAAAATCAATTGTTCTATAGTTAGATTTTGACTTACATATTATGTATGAGAAAGGGTCAGTAGAAAAACGAATATGCCACAATAAAAATAAAGCTAGATCTTTTGATACTGCACACACCAGATTTTTTATTAATTGTTGAACATTTTAAACAGGCATTGCAATGATCAACTCTGCCCTGCATTTATATTTATTATTATGTATGGGTGCTTACCTGCATACATATATGTGTACAACATACAAACCTTTTGTGTATGTACTTCAAATCTTCTATAACATGAGACACATTCACTTATGAGCAATCATATGCGTAATGGAAAGCAAACCTAGGTCCTATGCAAAACCACACCTTCTTCTTCAATGCTAAGACATTTCTCTCCTGCCAACCTAACAGATTAAAAGCCTGGGAAGCAAAATAGAATTTAATAAAATTTTATAATAAAGTTTATGATGCATAACTTTCTCATGATGTGAATTCATATTGGTATGCAATGTTTATGGACAGGACTCAGCCTAATTGTAGGGCAGGATCACACTCCCTTACTATCATTCACTTTAATGAGCCCACCACTTTAACACTTAAGAAAAGAAGTAAGCCTCCAACTGTTAAACATTAAAAGAAACCCAAATCTATAAATGCACCTAATACCAGTGCCTGTTATTCTGGAGTACCTAGAATTACATCCCAGTAACCAAACAGCAGCTAGTAATTTTCAAACTGCCAGTTCTTCTGGATAAAACAGTGTTTTGGTCTCTTTGGTGACTGCATGCATATTAGAAAATACCCTTATGCTGGAAATGAAAATAAAATCTTAATTTAAATGTGAAATCTCACCATAATAACTTTGAATCAGGAATATTTATGGTACAAAATAAGTCTTTGCTAGTTCCTACTAAACACAGCTGCATTAAGTCTCATGTTGTTCTTTAATAGAAATGTGACAGATGCAGATAATTTTGATGGTTAGTGTCATGTGAAATTCATACATACCACTAGACATCAATATAAAAGGCTGTCCTACCCTTATCATTTCCATATCTGTGCCTCTTATGAGACACAAAAATTTGAAGGTTCTTAGGTCAAATGCATGAACATATATCCAAAATATACACACATGTGTGTGTGTGTATGTGTGTGTGTGTGTGTATTTGTGTGCAATTACATGCACACATGAGTCCCGGTAACCTTGAAGCCTACAAGGGGCCATCTGATTCTTTAGATAATTTGCTCCAGGAAGTACTGAAGAGAATGTTGATGATGCATATTTTTTAATGTCCTCCGCACCAACAACACATGCTGTTAACTACTGAGGCACCTATCCAGCTTCTACAAAAGATTTTCTATCTGTTCATCAAAATGTCACTCTCTTTCATGTTCTATTTTCTAACTCCTTGGATGCTTCGGGATCTTCTTCACTTCCCCCCACAAGATGGAATGCTGTTTTAAATATATTTGCAAACCAACCAAGCTGCCTCAAACATAACTTTTATTTTTTCCCTTAGCACTCTACTGCTTTCGAAGTCATTCATTCATTCATGGCATTTATTTTGTACAGTTTTATATTTTAAAGCAGAAAATAAAATTTTTACTCTGCACTATTTTTAGATCTTATGAAATCAGTAACTAAGTGAAAGACTATAGGAAATAATGTAGACAGCAATAGTACATATGATTCTGGAGGGCTGCATCATTAAAAGAAACAGTGAGAGTCATTTTAAAAGAGATAGATCATGCATTGCAATTGAATATTTGGTGAATATGAGTGAACAATAAAATTCTGAGTTAGAATTCATGAAATATCAGTTCTGGAAGGTGATAGTACCCTGACACTTTGAAGAGATTTTTCTTGCTGGTCTTACCAAAATTATGTAGCACTTGGGAACAAAGATGCATCCCAGCATCCCAGCACTGGAAGCCAAGATGGAGAAAATTTCCACAGCTACTATGACCTTACCCTTGGTGCTATGGTACACAGGGAGGAATGTGATCCAGACACAGCAGAACAACAGCATGCTAAAAGTCAGGTATTTGGCTTCATTGAATGTGTTAGGCAGATTCCTGGACAAGAAAGCCATGGTGAAGCTCGCCTGAGCCAGGCTGGCCAGGTATCCCAGGACACAGTAGAAGGCAGTGAATGAACCCTTGATGCACACAATGATGATGTGACCATGCTCAGAGTGTGTATCAATATTAACAGAGGGAGGAGAAGCTCCCAACCAGACTGTACAGATAATAACTTGGATGAAAGTACAGATGACAATGATGTAGTTAGGTCCTCCTGAAACCAAGAAGCATCTCATTCTTCTTCCAGGGGCTGTGACTTTGAAAGCCAGAAGAACAGTCACTGTTTTGGCCAGCACAGTGGAAACAGCCACAGTGAATACAACTCCAAATGTGATTTGCTGCAAGATGCATGTAGCTGAGTTTGGATGGCCAATGAAGAGTAGGGGGCAGAGAAAACAAAATAAGAGTGAGATGAGCAAGATGTAACTGAGCTTCTGGTTATTGGCCTTCACAATGGGAGTGTCATGGTTCTTGACAAAGACTCCGAGAACCAGAGCTGTGAATGCCGAGAAGCACAAGGCTATTAAGGCAAGAGTTATCCCTAAAGGGTCTTCATAACTCAGAAATATCATTTCTTTTTGAAGACACTGGTTCTGCTCTATGTTGGCAAACTGGTCATCAGGGCATTTCACACAGTGATCTACATCTGAGGAGGAGAGTAATGTATCATTAGTTCATGTTCAGCATTTTTATTGACACAGTGCATTTCAGCTATATGTACAGAGGAACCATTGAAATGTCTGCATTTTGTTTTTGAGGATGTCATAGAAGTATCTTTCTGCCTAGAAATGCTTCCATTTCATTATGCTAATTATCTATATAAGGAACAAAAGCAAATAATTTTTGTCTGTTTAGAGCTATTAATGAAATAATGTGATCTGGTATCAAGAAGCACAGATTTTTTTGCTACATTCTGGGGGCTATGAAAAAGTTACCTATATCGGTAAAGTTACAAATGCTAATTTCATTAACCCAGTTTTTCTGACTGTTTTTAAAATCCCAGATCCCATGGATTCAGTGCCTCCTGATTTCTTGTCTTTGTCATTTCTATGAATGCTGTCCCCATGAGATATGAAGACTTTGTTTCCTACTGGCACCAAACCGTTGTTATATTTTCTGTTTCAAATTTTCTGGCCAAAACACATTTAAGTAAAAGCACCTTTAAATGAAATCAGCAGTTTGTATAATTGTGTTTATATTCATTTGTAAATATTCATATATAGGATCAAAAGATCTGTTGAATTTGAAAGTTAATGCGATTATATAGAGTAAGTAGGAGGGTGAGAGTGAGTGATGAATAGTGTTTGGGAACTGCATAAAAAAAAGAAATATCGTAAACACAGCCTTAATTTATTAGTGTTCTAGCAATAACAACAGCAAACTATTTAGTCTTGTCCAGAAGACACTGTAGCCTATCTGTGAAAGTAGAATCCTCTGTATATACTTGGCTTTAGAATGCCCGTACATAGTGATTATGCTCCATTTTGAAATACACAATACCCTTCTTCTTCCCTAATTTCCATCTCTATGAGACCCATAATCTGTGGATGTACTCAGTAGTGAACTTGATACTGACAAGCAACATTAGACAAATAACACAAGAGCCTTTAAGGCAGAGTGCTAACATAGAATGTTGTGTTGATTAATAGTACCCTATTTATGTTGTGATAACCATTATAGCAAGTGTATAAAACCTTATAGCAGTTGCTCTTAATCACCTTAAAATTGCAGACAGTAATAGAGGGCTTTGAATATTTTAAGGGTGTTATCGAAAACAATGGTTTTTGCACTTTATTCTGTTAATTTGTTTAAGGGCATGGGAATTTCGTTTGACTGTACGAGAATGTATTGCTCTCGCAGAAGACCTGAATTCAGTTCTCACTATAAAATTCAGGTGTCTCGCAAATTTGTGAAATTAACTGTATAGGCATTGGATGGCTCTCACCAGCACTCTCCTTTAGATGCACATATCCACCAACCTTAAATAATATACATAATCAAAGTAATAATAAAGATAGTTTGATAATTTTTCTTAAATATTCATTAATCTTATGTAGTTTTACACTAAAACAGTTAATGATACTTTGTTAATTTACTTTGAAATGTGTTTTATGTGATGCTGCATGGGATGCCTTCTATGACATGGGTCCTAAAGGTGAGCTCAGGCTATTTGTATTAGTAGGAAATGATTTAACTGCAGTTTCATCTCACTGTATATAAATATACATTATGAACTTTCATTTCATTATGTGGGATGACAGGCAAAAGCAGTAAAAAAAAGCATCAGTCTACCATTTTGTTTATAACATCCTGAATAAATAACCTTTTGACTAATATGTGGTTTATAGTTGATAGCATTGTTTGAATAATTGTGGCTAATTTTGTGGCATAATTACTGGGCTATGTTCATAAAAATATTGAACATAGTTTTAATATTATGTATCAATACATTTCCCCACTGTCCTAATTTTTCATTCAAGTTGAATCTTTGATAAGAGTTCTCTGGATATTACATGGAGTTTTCTGCCTCTTCTCAGCTGCTCCTGAAAATTGAACTTTAATAATTTTCTCTTAACATGACAGAGGATTTGTATATGATTACCAGCAGGCACATTACATAGTAAAGAGGACTCATTGCCCTAAACTGTTCTCTGTGAGCAGCTGCGCACATCGGGTATGCATAAAGTTATATAGGCACACACATATGCAAAAATACTAAATCATTTGGAAAAAATTAAGACACAAATGTAATTCAAGACCAAATGTAATTTTAAAGAGATTAATCACTGGAAATACCTTGTGTGAAATACTCTCAGATTGCTCATTGATTATCAAAACTGTCTCTTTGAGAAAATGCCACCTACTATGAATGTACAATGAGCCAAGATGAGGGTCAAGGCATCAGGATTTTTATACTGAGACATAGTTAATGATCATATTCTTATAAAGTTTAACTTAGGCAAATACATTGTGTTTCTGCAATTTAGTTTAAGACCCCTTTAGCATCCACTGTGCAGAGTGGGAGGAATGATCAAAGTGAAATGTTTATTACTTCCTCAATACTCACTTGTCTCATTAGAGATTTCATTTTCTGGGCAGGGCTTGCATTTAAAACAGCAGACAGCCATTCCTTCCTGCTGGAATTTTATGAAGCCAGGACCACAATCAGCACTGCACACAGAGGGTGGTGGTATCTGAGGAAAGTTAGACACATGGTGATACCAAAAGTTTTGCCTAATCCTTTCATACCTATATTACATAGCATGTTTAGGTATTGGTAAGGTAATTTCATACAAACTAACTGTGTGATCACATTACAAAATCAAGGTTTCTAAAAGGCATAAAGGAGATAAATAAAAATTCTGGTATACAGACTAGTCTATAACCCTATCTGTGAAGCATTTTATTAAGTGGTAATGGGTAGTGTTGTCCCTAAACAGGGCATTATGATAAATGCATGGAATGCAAGCCAATTAGCAGTGTTCTTTCAGGGACTATGCTTTAGCTACCATCTCCAGATTCCTGCCTGGTATTACTTTGACTGTAAACAATGAGCCAAATCTCCCATTCCCCCTGAATTTACTCATGGAAAGTGTTTAGTCACAAAAACTGAAAAGCAAAGTAGGATGAGTGAGCATCTGAAACAAGGGAAATATCTCCTAAAATCTCAGACAACACACATTAACTCCAATGAAAGAGTACGGCAAAGAATGATATACAGAGTGGGAAGAGCAAAGTACTCAATAGGCATGACCCAGTGTATTTTGTTATGAGGAAGTGCTGACTTGATGTGTAGTGATCTGGAAGGTAAAGTTTTTCCCAATGTGAAACATCCAATGAAAACTACGAATGCATGTGTAACCTGAATAAAAGTAACACTGTTTAAAGTTAAAGATTTCTTAATTTGAAAATGTATACACTATCTTGCTTTTTTTCATAATTTTTTATTTAACGTTTTATTTTATGTATTTTATATCATTTTTATTTTAATTTTAAATAGCTTGTTTTACATGTCAATCCCAGTTCCCTCTCCCTCCCCTCCTCCTGCATTCCCCTTCACCCCCCCCCAGCGTCCCACCCTATTGCCAATTCCTTCCACATAGGGGATATCTAGAGTCTGTCATTTCACTCCGGGTAGGGTCCAGGCATTCCCCTAAGAGTCCAGGCTGAGAGAGCATCCCTCTTTGTGCTATGGGCACACAATGACTGTTTGTATTCCAGGGATAGACACTGATCCACTGCTCAAGGCCCCATAGGTTGCCCAGGCCTTCTCACTGACACTCACATTTGGGAGGGTTCAGATCAGTCCCATGTTAGCCTCCCCGCTGTCAGTCTGGGGTCCAAGAGCTCTCCCCTGTTCAGATCAGCTGTCTCTGCTGGTTTTGCCAGCCCATTCTTTGCCAATTTGCTCATCACTCCTCTCTTTCTGCCACTTGGTTCCTTGGGTTCAGTTCAGTGTTTAACTCTGTGTTTGCCTCTGCTTCCATCAGCCACTGGATGAAGGCTCCCAGATGGTTATAGACATCAAGTTCACTATCAGGAAAGGGCATTAGAGGTGGTCTCTCCACTATTACATAGCTTGCCAATTGGTGTTATCCCTTTAGATCACTAGAGTGCCTGATCCATCTCCTAACCTATGATTCCCTCTTCCCCCTATTCTACCCCCACCCACTCAACTTCCTATTCCCCCATGACTTACTCTGTCTTTCTCTTCTCCCCCTCTCTTCTTCCCAGCTCCCACTCCCTCTTACCCCTCACCGTGTTCCCCATCCATTCAGAGGATCTTGTCTCAATCCTCTTCTCTTGGGTACTATGCATATATGCATATCTTTTAGGTTCTTTCCTGTTTCCTAGACTCTCTAGAAACCATATATGAGTGAGTACATACCATGTTTTTCTTTTTGCTACCGGTTTACCTCACTCAGGATGGCTTCCTACAGTGCCATCCATTTACCTGTGAATTTTAAGATTCCATTGTTTTTTTTCTACTGAGTAATACTCCATTATGTAAATGTACCACATTTTCTCCACCCACTCTTCAGTTTAGGGGCATCTAGGTTGCTTCCAGGTTCTGGCTATTACAAATAATGCTGCTATGAACATAGTGGAGCAGATGCCCTTGTTGTATGAATTTGCCTCATTTGGGTATGTGCCCAAGAGTGCAATTACTGGGTCTTGAGGTAGATTAATTCCCATTTTCCTGAGGAATCTCCACACTGATTTCCAAAGAGGCTATACGAGTTGGCACTCCAACCAGCAGTGGAGTAGAGTTCCCCTCTCTCCGCATCCTCTCCAGCATAAATTGTCTTCAGTGTTTTTGATTTTAGCCCTTCTGACAGGAGTAAGATGGTATCTCAGAGTTGTTTTGATTTGCATTTTCCTGATAACTAAGGATGTTGAGCACTTTCTTAAGTGTCTCTTGGCCATTTTAGCCTCCTCTACTGACAATTCTCTATTTAGCTCTGTACCCCACCTTTTAATTGGATCCTTTGGTGTTTTGGAGACTTGTTTCTTGAGTTCTTTGTAAATTTTGGAGATTAGCCCTCTGTCAGATGTGGGGTTAGTGAATATCTTTTCCCATTCTGTGGACTGCCTTTTTGTCTTGTTGACTGTGTCCTTTGCCTTACAGAAGCTTTTTAGTTTCAGAAGGTCCCATTTGTTAATTGTCGAACTCAGAGTTTGTGCCACTGGTATTATGTTTAGGAAGTGGTGGTACACTATCTTTCTTTAACAAGAACCTGATGATGGACATCTATATGTTGCTCTAGAGGGGTCCTGATTCTTGCTTGTTCACTTTGCATCTTTGGTTTTGTGTTAAATTGTGGGTCAAACGAAAGCATCTCCTAATCACAGAATCATCTCATGATCACAAGAATGGAGAATTCCAATTCTTCTTTTCTGTTGTTGTTTTTGTTGAAGCAAAGTCTCAGTGGGTAGTTATCGATTTCATAAACTTTCTTTACCATAATGTATTTAATTCCTTGCTTTTTGTATGTATCTTCATTTATTGTTTAATTTGATAATATTTTATGGGCTAGTTTGAATTAGAGTGAAGACAATGAATGCTATTATCCATATTCTGCCAGTTTCACTTAAGTAAGAGGTTACTTAAGGATTTCTGTATGGCTAGAACTCCTCAAGTAGTTCAGGTTTACTACAAAGAGTACCAGATTCTTTGTTCAAAGAGTTTGAATTAAAGATATGCACCACAAACACACCTGACTCCATATGACTTTAATGGATATTACTTGAGTTACCTCCCCATGTAGTACAATGCTGTCAATATGTTTGTCATGGAAAATATTAATACATCAAGATGTGCTCGTTGTATTCTGTCAGGGTTTGTTTCTTTTTTATTTTTAAATTTAAATTTAAATTAGAAACAATGTTGCTTCACATGTCAATTCCAGATCCCTCTCCCTTTCCTTCCCCTCCTCCCACACTCTTCCACCAACCCCTCCAATATACCACCATTTTCCCAGGGAGGGTGAGGCCCACCATGGGGATGTCCATGGTCTGTCATTTCATCCAGGGGAGGGCCTAGATCCTACACCTAGAGTCCAGGGTGAGGGTACATCTCTCATTGTTGGATGGTATTTCAAATTCCATTTGTATACCCGGGATAAATACTGATCTGTTACCCAAGGTTCAATAGATTACCTAGGCTTCCTCACTGACAATCATATTCAGGGGGTCTTGATCAGTCCCATGCTGGGTCTGGGATTCAAGAGCTAACACTTGTCAGGTCAGCTGTTTCTGGGGCGTGAAATCAGCCTAGTCTTAAACCCTTTGGTCATCAGTCCTCCCTCTGTCATTGGATTCCTTGAGTTCAGCTGTGGGAGTCTACCTCTTCTTCCATCAGCCACTGAATGAAGGTCCTGTTTCCCAGACTCTCTGGCCATGGGATTGTAGGCTGGCACTCCCCAGATCTATGTCTAAAATCCATATATGAGAGAGTACATGCCATGTTTCCCTTTTTGTGACTGGGTTACCTCACTCAGGATGGTTTCTTCCAGTGCCATCCATTTTCCTGCAAATTTCAGGATTCTGTTGGTTTTTTTTTTCTGAATAGTACTCCATTGTGAAAATGTACCATATTTTCTTTAAGGATTTTGAGCACTTTTTCAAGTGCCCCTCAGCCATTTTAGACTCCTCTGTTAAAAATTCTCTATTTAGTTCTGTAGCCCACTTTTTAATTGAGGGAATTTCAACTGAGATTTTTACTTGATTTTTTTGCTTTACCTTTGTATGATTTAGTTTGAATTTTTTTTATTTTGTTCCTTTACAGAAATTCTTTGTCACATGATCATTGTCTAATTGTGTGCAAGTTATCAGGATTTCATTGCTTTTCAATAAGTTATTTGTGTCCTCTTGAAGTTTTTCGGAAGACTCTTATAATAGTTTTTTGATTTCCTTGTTCAGTATATCATGGAACATACTCTACTTTGTTTATTAATGTAAGATTTAGAGTCATGATGCTTTGATATCTTCCTGTATATTTCTTTGTTGAATTTCTTCTTTTTAATTTGCATTTCTGAAAGCAGAACATAGGTTTAATTGTCTTTAATCCCCAGTATTCTTCTGGTGTATGCTTTTTTCCATGCTCAAGTGAGGAGTGGGTAGAATGGACATGCACTTTTACTGATGCACTCTGGGTGAATATGCAGATCAGGAGCTACACATTCAGCTTATATGTTCTTCTCCCTGAGTATGACCCTGCTCACACTTGGGGAAAGTAAAAAAAAACTCTAACTTTCCTACTATCTAGGAAATCTGAGATATCACGTAAGGTTATTTTTGAAGAATTTGCTGAAATCACAGTCTTTCAATACTATTTTATACTCGGCAGTTTGCATTGCATACCTTAACACCACACACATCATCCCGATAAAATACCCATGACAGATAAAAGGATATTTCATTTACAAATTTCCTCAAAACTGGTTTTTTTTTACTAGAAATGCTCCAAATAAAGAGAAGAAAATTAGACACTCCATTATTAGTTTGAATGAACTATAAAATAATTAATGGGAGCAAGAAAAATATCTCTAGTGATAAAATACTTTTATAGTATACTATTCAGAGCTGGAATTATAACTCAGCATTACATAATAATTCCTGCTCAAGAATAGGACTCAGGTTTGATTTCTAATAGCCACTGTGTGGTATTAACCTTTTTCCATTTCTTAAGAATAAGTCTTCTGTTATCCATATGAGCCACATTCACAGCATATGCAAGCGTACATGAGGACAAAACACCCATACAAACACAGAAAAAGAAATAAAAAAACAAGGTAATAATTCATAGACTATATAATATGCATCCTAAAAATGTTAATTTATGGTTAGAGGTGCTGACAATTTGGGAATTCTTTGTCAAATATTTAAAAATTAAATAATATAATGCAGGTTTTTTTATTTTGATTTTACTCCATCCATATCGCAGCCTAACTTTTCAACATCTGTGCCCAAGATTCAGCTCAAAGGAAGAAATTACTGTGTGGTAATCAGTATGTTACCAAGACAATATTGCGCACTTTATTGGAAATTATACTAAATCATTTTGACAGCTGGTTTATACTCATATTTATAACCATAATCAGTTTTGGATATGATAAAATGCACTATATTCATGCTGAAAATCCTCAAAAGATTAATAAAGCGTCAAACAAAAAAGAAGAAGGACACTTCATATTCATCAAAGGAAAAATACATCAAGATGAAGTCTCAATTTTAAACATCTACGCCCCAAATACAAAGGCACCTACATTCATGAAAGAAACATTACTAAAGCTCAAAATGCACATAAAATCTCACACACTAATAGTAGGAGACTTCAACACTCCACTCTCACCGCTAGACAGGACCTCCAGACAGAAACTTAACAAAGAAACAAAAGAACTAATAGAAGTTATGACCCAACTGGGTTTAACAGACATCTATAGAACATTCCACCCAAATACAAAGGGATATACCTTCTTCTCGGCACAACATGGAACCTTCTCTAAAATTGACCACATAATAGGAAACATAGCAAATCTCCACAGATATAAAAAAATTGGAATTACCCCCCTGCATCTTAACAGACCACCATGCATTAACATTAGAATTCAACAATAACACAAAGACAGAGGGTGAGCATGCTAATTAACAAAATCAGGGATGAAAAAGGGGACATAACAACAGACTCTGAGGAAATCCAGAGAATCATCAGGGCATACTTTGAAAATCTGTACTCCACAAAATTTGAAAATTTAAAGGAAATGGACAATTTCCTGGATAGATATCACTTGCCAAAACTAAATCAAGAACAGATAAACAATCTAAACAGACCTATAACCACTAATGAAATAGAAGCAGTCATCAAAAGTCTCCCAAATGAAAAAAGCCGAGGCCCAGATGGCTTCAGTGCAGCATTCTACCAGAAATTCAAAGAAGAGCTAATTCCAATACTCCTCAAAGTATTCCACACAATAAAAGCAGGAGGCTCACTGCCAAACTCTTTCTACGAGGCTACAATTACCTTGATACCCAAGCCACACAAAGACACAACTAAGAAAGAGAACTATAGACCAATTTCCCTCATGAACATTGATGCAAAAATACTCAATAAAATACTCGCAAACCGGATTCAAGAACACATCAGAAAAATCATCCACCATGATCAAGTAGGCTTCATCCCAGGAATGCAGGGATGGTTCAACATTAGAAAATCTATCAATGTAATCCACCATATTAACAATCTGCGAAAGAAAAACCACATGATCATCCCACTAGATGCTGAAAAAGCCTTTGACAAACTCCAGCACCCCTACATGATAAAGGTCCTAGAGAGATCAGGGATAACATGAATGTACCTGAATATAATAAAAGCAATATACAGTAAACCAACAGCTAACATCAAACTAAATGGAGAGGAACTCAAAGCAATTCCTTTAAAATCAGGAACAAAACAAGGCTGTCTACTCTCTCCATATCTCTTCAATATTGTACTTGAAGTTCTAGCTACAGCAATAAGACAACAAAAGGAGATAAAGGGGATACAAATAGGAAAAGAAGAAGGCAAATTTCACTATTTGTAGATGATATGATAGTTTACATAAGTGACCCAAAAAACTCCGCAAGGTTACTCCTAGAGCTGATAAACACCTTCCGCAATGTGGCAGGATACAAGATAAACTCAAAAAAATCAGTGGCCCTATTATATACAGATGATGAAGTGACTGAGAAAGAAATCAGAGAAACATCATCCTTTACATTAGCCAAAAACAGCATCAAATATCTGGGGATAATGTTAACCAAGGAAATTAAAGACCTGTATATCAAGAACTTCGTGTCTTTAAAGAAAGAAATCAAAGAAGATACCAGAAAATGGAAAGATCTCCCATGCTCTTGGATTGGTAGGATCAACATAATAAAAATGGCAATCTTGCCAAAAGCAGTCTACAGATTCAATGTAATCCCTATCAAAATTTCATCACAATTCTTCAAGGACCTGGAAAGAACATTAATCAACTTTATATGGAAAAACAAAAGGCCCAGGATAGCTAGAACATCCCTATACAATAAAGGAACTTCAGGAGGCAGCACCATACCTGACTTCAAGCTCTATTATAGAGCTATAGTCCTGAAAACAGCTTGGGATTGGCACAAAAATAGCCAGGTAGACCAATGGAACCGAATCTAAAGCTCTAATTTTAACCCACACACCTATGAACACTTGATTTTTGACAAAGAAGCTAAAACTGTACAATGGAAAAAAGAAAGCATCTTCAACAAATGGTGCTGGCATAACTGGGTACTGGTATGCAGAAGACTGCAGATAGATCCATGTTTATCGCCTTGTACAAAACTTAAGTCCAAATGGATCAAAGATCTCAATATAAATCCAGCCACACTGAAACTTTTAGAAGAGAAAGTGGGAGATACTCTTCAACGAGTTGGTACAGGAGACCACTTCCTAAACATAACACCAGTGGCACAGGCACTGAGATCGACAATTAACAAATGGGACCTTCTGAAACTAAAAAGCTTCTGTAAGGCAAAGGACACACACAGTCAAAAAGACAAAAAGGCAGGCCACAGAATGGGAAAAGATATTCACTAACCCTACATCTGACAGAGGGCTAATCTCCAAAATTTACAAAGAACTCAAGAAACAAGTCTCCAAAACACCAAAGGATCCAATTAAAAGGTGGGGTACAGAGCTAAATAGAGAATTCTCAGTAGAGGAGGCTAAAATGGCCAAGAGACACTTAAGAAAGTGCTCAACATCCTTAGCCATCAGGGAAATGCAAATCAAAACAACTCTGAGATACCATCTTACTCCTGTCAGAATGGCTAAAATCAAAAACACCGAAGACAATTTATGCTGGAGAGGATGTGGAGAGAGAGGAACACTCCTCCACTGCTGGTGGAGTGCCGACTCATACAGCCTCTTTGGAAATCAGTATGGAGATTCCTCAGGAAAATGGGAATTAATATACCACTAGACCCAGCAATTCCACTCTTAGGCATATATCCAAATGAGGCAAGTTCATACAACAAGGGCATCTGCTCCACTATGTTCATAGCAGCATTATTTGTAATAGCCAGAACCTGGAAGCAACCTAGATGCCCCTCAACTGAAGAGTGGATAGAGAAAATGTGGTACATTTACACAATGGAGTATTACTCAGCAGAAAAAAACAATGGAATCTTGAAATTCGCAGGGAAATGGATAGCACTGGAAGAAACCATCCTGAGTGAGGTAACCCAGTTGCAAAAAGACAAACATGGTATGTACTCACTCATATATGGATTTTAGACATGGATCAGGATAGTGCCAGTCTGCACTTCCACTGATAGAGAGTCTGGGAAACAGGAAAGAACCTAAAAGATAGGCATATATGCATAGTACCCAAGAGAAGAGGATGGAGACAAGATCCCCTGAATGGATGGGGAACAGGGCGAGGGGTGGGTGGAGTGGGACCTGGGAAGAAGAGAGGGGGTGAAGAGGAAGAGAGTTGGTCATGGGGGAACAGGAAGTTGAGGGGTGGGGGTAGAATAGGGAGAAGAGGGAATCATAGGATCAAATACAGATCAGGCACTAGAGCGACCTCGAGTGATCTAAAGGGATAACACCAACTGGCAAGCTAAGCAATAGTGGAGAGACCACCTCGAATGCCCATTCCTGATAATGAACTTGATGTCTATAACTATCCGGGAGCGTTCATCCTGTTACTGATGGAAGCAGAGGCAAACACACAATTAATCACTGAACTGAACCCAAGGAACCCAGTGACAGAGAGAGAGGAGTGATGAGCAAATTGGCAAAGAATGGGCTGGCAAAACCAGCAGAGACAGCTGATCTGAACAGGGGAGAGCTCTTGGACCCCAGACTGACAGTGGGGAGGCCAGCATGGGACTGATCTGGACCCCCCAAATGTGAGTGTCAGCGAGAAGGCCTGGGCAACCTATGGGGCCCTGAGCTGTGGATCAGTGTCTATCCCTGGTATACAGTCTTCGTGTGCCTATAACACAAAGAGGGATGCTCTCTCAGCCTGGACTCTTAGGGGAGTGCCTGGACCCTACCCAAAGTAAAATGACAGACTCTAGATATCCCCTATGTAGAAGGATTTGGCAATAGTGTGGGAGGGTGGGGGGAAGGGTAGTGCGGGAGGAGGGGAGGGAGATGGAACTGGGATTGACATGTAAAACAAGCTATTTAAAATTAAAATAAAAAATGATAAAAAAGGAGAAAAGGAGAAGCATAAAGTAAGAGGCTGGATAATGGTCCATAATATGACAATTTATCACATAAAGTTTTATGGAAGACAGAATGTTCCCACTTGACACTGTTACTGCTGTGTAATGGAAATATGTACAATTTGATTATACGCACCTGTGTACTTCCTGTGACCCACTCTATCATTTCTTCGTATACATGTACCTGTTGTCCATGTGGAAAATATGGACTATACTTCCCTATTTTCACTTTAAATGTAAGACCATGTGGGAAATTCCAAATCTGGAAAATGTCATACTCCTCGTCAAGGTCTTCTTTTTGGTTCATATTAACTGTGCCCCCAACAGGATTTCTGAATTGGGTCTTCTTCAGAAATGAATTCAGCTGTAAGACAGGCAGCATCCTATATTTTGTTTGTCCTTCATTGAAGAAAAAAATCTTATTTTATCTTAAATCAACATTATTGCAGGTACCCATGGATAAAGCTCAGTGAAAGGAAATGGATTAAAATTATAATAATATTCCTCAAATCATATTTCCCTCAGAGGAACCTGACAAACACATACAGAGAAATATATGCAGACACCAAGGAAGGTATGCAACACACAGGCACACACAGACACACACATGAGGCACAAAAACAGAGAGAGACTCACATCCATATAGAGATACACACAAAATGCAGCCACACAGTTATTTGACAAATATACACATACATACATACATGCCCTGCAATTCCTATACATATGCAGGCAAACATACACAGGCATATTCATCCAAACACACATTAAATAAAACACTGAAAAAACACCCACACAAATGTACACATACCCAAATACATACAGGGAAAAGCACCCAGATACAAACAACAACAGAGAGAAGTATTGAGAAACAGAAAAACATATCCTCACATTAAACACATACACACACATTTACACACAGACACAACAGAGCAGGTATGTATATGTGAAAGAACATAGATGGAAAAGTTCAAATATACACAAAGTCTCATGCAGAAACATTCACTGCCAAATACATACACAGGTAGATATTCACATGAAAAATACACATACAGAAAGACACAAACAAATTTATTATCAGTTCTTCCAGAAGACAGACAGATACTCATAGGAAACTATATGAAGACATATACACACACACAGATGAACAGAAAAGTTCAAACACACACAGATAGAGTGAGAAACCTCCAATCACACACATGAATGCACATGTACTTAGTGAACTGAGTCACAGCACTATTTCCTGTGTAATAACTATCAGAATGCCAACTGTCGTCCTCAGAGCTGTGAGTGGAGGAAGAACATCTGAGAACACTTGTAAATATCATCCGCTATATCATTTACAACATTAATGATGACTAATGTACAAAAATCTCATCTAATGACAGAGATTTTTCATGAGAAAGGACTGATAATGCTTACAATATTAGAGCAGGAATGATGATATTCACATGCTCAGTAACAAAATCACTAACTGTCGTGTGCTCCATTGCCTTTGCACTAGATACTTCTACCAATTTCTAGATTTACTCTATGAGAAGAAAGAAAAATACTCAGACAACATTATTTTGGGTATAATAATTCATAATCCACTGAGTTTGTGCATCTGAAAGACTCCTAAACATTTGGCATTTGTGACACCAAATATTATCCAATTGATGAAATAATACCTTCCAGCAGCTAGAGCCATGTCCTTTCCCTTTGTCCATTGGATGAGTATCTACTTGTTGTAGGTCCAACGCATGCAGTGCATGGGCTAAAGCATACACAGCATTGTATATGTCATAACTGCCATCACTAAGGGCCATGTCATAAGTCTGTATCAGTAGCCATTCCATAGAGGTATTCCATGAGTATTTCCTCAGTGTCTTACATTTGGATGTGCAAACTTCACAGTTGAAGTTCATCCATTCCATCCTTGTAAGGTAATCATCTGTTTTTTTGATAGGGTTCATTGCCAGGACAAATTTTTTAAAACCAGAAATATCATGATGGCGGGCAAAAGCTAGAGTCATTTGGGCTGTATGAACCACTAAGTCTCTTTCTATCATAGGCACATCCCACTGTGAGGTGATGACCCATATTCTCTGTAAACCTTGGGATTCCCACATTCGAAAGCTCACAGCAAGAGTACTGTCTGAGTCACCATAAATGATAACAACATTTGCCGATGATGTCTTGATTTGGTTATAATATACTTCAGCTCTTGACATGTATAACTGCATGCTGATTGGAATCATATTTAAAAAGGCAAGGCAGATTGTACTTTTTTCCAAGTATCTTCTCAAATATGAGAGAAATTGTGTGCCCTGATCATTGTCAGAGATGACCAGCCCCACCCAGTTCCATCTGAAATGAAGTATGACAGAGACCATGGCCAGGGCTAGAGATGTGTCCTTGGGGGCCATTTGATACAGATACGGAAACTTTGCATGATCACTTAGAATTGGATGGAAGGATCCAAATGTAACTTGAATGATCTAGGATGCAAGGAGCAATATAAGGCACCATGCATTCCTAAGAACTTGAAAACACGTTTTTTTCTTCAAAGATTTCTAGAAAACCCCCTAGGCTAATCCCCTTAGCTAGTAATCTTCCTTCATCTGTATTTGAAGCAAGGAAATGTGGACAGTCCATCATTCTCTGAATAGTACTTATGAGCTACATAGATTGACATAAAATTAAATCTAGTCCCCTCTGATACAGTTTTTAGTATCTGAGAATGGTGTCTATGAGGACACCATTTCAGTCAAACCCAAGATATAAAATTCTTACCTGTAGGGATTTCCAAAGGTAAATGAAATTCAGAATCATTGTAGATGTTTCCCAGCTTGGTCCTGTAAGTATCACATGACATATGTCTTCTTCACAGTAATAATTAGGGAACGAATCAGGGTCTTGTGCATTAATATTATCGACATTATACAATATAGACACATTGAAACAAGTATCTTTGTAGAAACTAAATACTAAAGATTTATTTGGTAATAGATCATGGTTCCTGTTTACCTCATCCAGGGTAAAAGCCAAGACCAATGCAAACTTTTTTCTCTCAGCTGGTATTCTGTAAAATGGTACAGGTTTAATATGGTCAGAAAACAATACATGAGTATTTGTAGTCACTACAAGGACTGTTTTGTACTGCAAAGTATTCCCAACCTTCCTCAAATACTGAAAAAAGTCTTTTGTTGTGAGGTTGGAAAGACCTAAGAACTTGAAAACTTGCAAACACTTTGACATCCATGGGGTTTTATCTCCCATAAATGAGATGCTACCTTGACATCTTACACAGAAAGTCTTTTCCATCTCTGGTTTGTGAGTTTTTCTTCAGAAGTTAGAGACAGGACACAGTCATTGGCCAAAGAGTAAACCTAGCCATCTTTACATTGAAATTATTCAGTAATATAAAAATGCACATGATGAGTTAGCCAAAGAGATTATTTTACTTTGTTATGAAAATTATTGAAATTGGTAAGATTAACCAAGAATCACAGATGAAATCACAATAATCGTCATTGGGCAATATTTGGATATGGACTTATGGTTCATGATAATTAGAGCACAATATAGTTTACATATCCTCCCATGTCCATCAAAATCTTATATTTCAGGTTTAATTGTGGCAGTCAAACATTATTTTTAATATTTATTTTTAAATAAATTCAAGTACAAAAGACACATTTGGTAAAAGATTTGAATGTCTACATCCATCTCTGTGTTTATCAGGATTAATTCTAACTTTGGCCACAAAAGACCACAAATCACTTGCTTTTGAATGAGAATTTCCTATAGCTTAGTATGGTCTCAAACGCACAAGGATACACCTGCTCTAGGTCCTGAGTGCACATATTAAATGTATGTATCCCCACTACAATATTATTCACATATTTCACTTTCACATTGAAATGTCATATATTCAAACTGGGAATATCTGACCATCATATATTTTCTACTAGATAATATGATTATCTATGCATTTACATTAACACAACACTAGAATTCTACTGAGTTTTGTATTGCCAGTATTCCATATGTGTGAACTAGAACACCATAAAGTATGAATGTTTTGTAATAAAAATGAACAGCAAGTCTGTTGGAAGAGAACAATATCATATTGTGTTTATTGTTAATGGGAAGAATGATAACTCATGTTTCTTACTAGTCATTTCATATTATATTATGAATATAATCAAATATGTTACTTTACTTGAATGATTTACACAGAGATAATTTAATCTGTTTTTCATTTAGGAATTGTAACTTTCTTATATCTCTGTATATAAAAATAGGTACTTTACAAAAGTCCCTTGTCACCAAAGAAAAAGGATCATTGTAATTTTCTGTAAAAACAAATGGATTTGAGAATATATCTCATACAAATTAAAGACTAACTTCACTACACAGATAGTAAGAAACATCAGTGACTAGAGCTCTCATATTTGCCTGTTGAACTGAATTGCTGTCTTTTAAACCAACCATCTGCATTCTACAAAATCGTCATGCATATAGTGCCTACATTGGTAAAATGAGCATCTATATTTTGAGAAATATAAGAAGTAAGTGATATAAGTGTTAGAATGTTAACAACTTATTAATACAGAAAAAACACATGAAGCTTAAATAAGGTCAAAGAACAGTTAGTAGGTAACTACTATCCATCTTCTCAAGTTTACCAAATATTGTATGCCACTGCTGTCACTCAGGCAATTGACAAGGGAAGTAAGAGGCCATCACTATTAGTTGTAACCTCAGTTTTTAAAGACTACAAACATGTCATTTACAATCCATACATTCCTTCCTTACTATAGAGGGAGAGCATGGAAGTGGACTTGCAATATTTAAAAGTCAGGGGTTGGCCATGTGTATACATAAAGTATGGAAAACAGGAAGAAAAATGGAGCTCATGAAAGACAAGTCCCCTACATATATTCTCAAGTAAGCTTCAGGAGTCAGAGTGGCTACAAGCAAGGAATTTCTGGGAGTTCTTAAAGTCTATGTGAAATATCTTTGCAGCTATGTGTGTCACAAATATTTGTGGTTCTTATACAAGCACATACTGATGAAATGATCATCAGCAGATTCTAAGATTCTAAGTCAATTTCCTTTCGTGTTCTTAGGATGAATTTCATTGAAATTTCGTTTTCTTTTCATAAGACAATAGTGGCTACTGAGCTATGGACAATGTCAAGAGGAGGGCTCTTTGTGATGGATCATGGTAGAGACTGCTTCCTTCTTTCCATTTCCAGCCTTTAAATTGGTAGGCTAATTGGAAGCAAAACAGAACACACATTGGACAAACAAAATAGTAAAATAACAGTCTTTAAAATTACTTGGGATTGTAGGGTGGTATGGAGCTTCAGAGAACAAGACAGAAGATGCCAGGCCCATCTTGAAATAGTCATGATGGCATTTATGTGGAAACTACAAAAATACTTACTGTATATTCAAAATTTGTTTGAAATACTCTTTATCCACTGGCCACTGCACAGTTCTTGGAGAGAAGACGCAACCTGTCTTCAAGTTTCTATCTTTACTGTGCTTCATTTTCCAAAAACACCTGGGGTGCGTAAAACTGGACATGAGAATTGGAATGTTCAGGAGCAGCAAGAGGAAAATCAAAATGAACATCTCTGTCGTGTGCTACACCAGGGGAGCATGAATTGTGAAGTGCCGTGCAGAGAAGCTCATAAAATGGGCCCACACTTTTCCTACCTGCTTATATTCCTTGGGAAAATGAGACACTAGTTTTGAATCTGTGATTGCTTTTTCTCCCAGGTGTTTCTTCAACCCTGGGGGAATATTAGAGAGTCTCTTCTCTGGGACTCTGCATCTGGGTTCACAGTGCATGTGAAAAATATGGGCTGATACATATATAAGGGAATAATTCAGTCTCTCATTCTATGACATCACTCATGTTTGTTGTTATAAGGCCCCTGAGAGGAACACCTTTTCAGAAAATTTTGTCCCACAACTATCTGAATTTATGTGAACACCATTAAAAATGAGATGAGTATATTTTCTCAAAACACTCACAGAGAATCAATAAATTAATGGTTCAAAAAGCAGACACCAATCAGAATTCATGATTTCACATGGGACTTCCATCAACAATGCCATGCCAGGATTAGGAAGGCTAAATTGTAGAGCAACTGACATCCACAGAATATGCCCTGTAACCTATGTTACACCATTGACAGGTACAGAATATTCAACCAAAGCCTGTGCTTCCATTGTGTAAAGAACCCATTATCAAGTCAAATCACAAAATTCCTGAATATTCCTGCATTCCAAAATGTCCAACTCATTACAGAATCATAATTCATTTACATGTTCAATGTCGATTTTTAAATATTGAAAAATATCCAGAGGGGAAAAACAGATCTTTGTGCCTTACTTCAAATACTGAGTCAGATCTATCACTGCTCTGCCCAACCAATCATTATCAATGAGAAGATAAACTGAGAATTTGAGTTTCAAACAATGATCTCCCTCTCTGATCCTCAGTTTTCATGGATACCTTGTGATGACTGAATTCTTCTACTTTTTCTTTGATTTCCAACATTGTTTTCCTAATTTTCATTACAGAAGTGAATTGAAGAAGACTTGTGTTGAGTGTCATATATATAGAGAGAGAGGGATAGAGAGAGAGATACAGCCAGACAAATGGATAAACATACTGAAAGACTGACAGACACACATTTGTTGCAGCTAGAGTTGGTGAAAAATCTGAGTTTCCTACAGTTGACTCTTGAGTTTAACATGATTTTTGTTATTCCATCCCCTATGCCTCTAATGATATAATTTAACTCTTCCAAGCTGAGAGCAATTTTGTTGTGTGTATATAACATCTCCATGCATTTTATCTGACTTTTATTTTGTCTAATTGAATAATGGACCTAGTAATATTATTCGTTTAACTTTATCTTTAGTTTTAGACATGTATGAACTACATAGAAGTTCTTTATTTAATCTTCTATATATTTGGTTAATGCAGTTAAAAATCACTCTGTAAATATTTAAGTGAGATAATTTGTTGAAAATATTTCTCAAAATTCTAAGGATGATAGTAAATAGCAATAATCATTATTTGTGTTTGAAGTAAAATTAAAATTTAAATGATATCTCTTCTTGATTTGTTCATTTGATGGCAAGCATCAAAGTTGATTCCATATCATTAGTATTATGAATAATGCTGAAACACACATGGATAGGCAAGTGTCTAAGTGCCATTTTGACTTATGCACATTCAGAAAGTCCCCTTAGAAATGTAGATAGACCATAACATATTTGTACTTTTACTTACAAAATCATCTGTATTCTGCTTACTACACTGGCTGCCTCAGGTTCTACTCACATTAGATAGGTTCAGGGAATTCCCTATAATTCCCACATGCTCATTATTTTTAGTCATCTTTTGATGCTCACTGTTGTCACTCTGAAGATGGACTCTCATTGAATCTCTGATTTTTATTTTTCCTATCTAAGGCAACTGATTGTAATTCCATACTCACAGAATTTTGTACAATTTCAAAACAGGAATGTTAAAATATAATACTGGTTGTAAAGACATGCATTTGTGGAGCTGGAATCATGATCTCAATGGACAAGAATATTGACTGCTCTTCCAGAGGACTTCGGTTCCATTCCCAGAACCCTCACTCAATCCTATTTCTTGTCTCATACCCAACATAATAGTCTTATTGCAATATACACACACCCAGTGTCCACTGATAAAATATATTCTCTTACCCAACCTCAGATGTTGTAATTTACAAAAAGCAGCATGAGTGAAAGATGCCATTGGGTAGGGTTCAAGTAAAGGGTATTATTATTAAGGAAATTGATCATAAAAAGAGGAAAGTCGAGGGAGGAGTAAAGTCTCCAGGTAAAGAAGCAGCATGGGAAAAGTAATCTAGAGAGACAACGAGAGAGAAACAGAGTGAGAGACAGATAGACAGAAAGGAAGGAAGGAAGGAAGGAAGGAAGGAAGGAAGGAAAAGGGAGTGAAAGGAAGATGGGAAGTGTTCAAGGCCCTTTTAAAAGAGAACATAGAGAATATGCACAAGAGGTGCTCTTAGTGACTGCAGCTGAGGTTGTAACCTGTGAGAACTCCAAGGACAGGCCAGTACAGAAGCCTAAATACTAACATCATAGACATCTATATATACCCCTATCCCCTCCTTCCACAACTAACCTCTACAAGGCTATGGATAACAGCTTGCTTATCTAGGATGGAGCCTGCTTGGTTATGGTGGATGGTCTTGTTGATGTGTTCTTGTATTGAATTTTTGAGTATTTTTACATCTATGTTCATAATGGAAATTAGTCTGTGATTCATTTTGGGGGGTCTTTATGTGCTTTGTGCTTCAGGGTAAATATAACCTAATACAGTGAAATTATCAATATCCTTCGGGTTATTTTTTATGGAATAATTGAAATTTTAATGGAATTAATTCTTCTTTAAAATTGTGATTGAGTTCTATGCTGAAATCACATGTGTTGGGATTTGGGTTGGAGATTACTTATAAGGTTATAGGTCAATTTAATTTGTTTATCTACTCTTGATTTTACTTTGCTAAGTGCTATGTGTGGAGGAAATTAGACATTTGTTTTAGATTTTCCAATTTGGTGGAGTACAGGATAAAGTGTGTTCTAACACTTCTCTGCATTTTGTAAGAGTGGTTTTTGAGCTCCTTTACTGTTTCTTATTTTGTTACCTTGAATTTTCTTATACCACATTTTAGTTTGTTTGAATAATTATATGTCTATTTTGTTGATGAAATCAAAGAACCAGCTCTTTGTTTCCACGATTCCTGTACTTTTCTCTTTGTTTCTATTTCATTAGTTTTAACTCCCAATTTGATTATTTCGTATTTTCCACTGCTGTTTCTAATGATTACTTCTTTTGGTTATAAAAACTTCATGTGCTTTGTTGAGTGACTAGGAAGAGATTTCTACAACTTACAGGGGGACTTAGTACTATGAACTTTCGTTTTAGAACTAATTTCATTATATGTCATAAGATTTGTATGCTGTATATTCATTTTCATTGAATTTTGGAATGTCTTCTGGCACATTCATAAATAATGGGAATGACAGAAGTCATAAAGCCACCAGAGCAAATATTAGCTGCATGATTGCTGCCATGGATCATTTGCTTTTATCTCTACCTCTTCCATATTAGGGAGTTTTAAAATTTGTACACTTTGGGAAATATGAATTGATGGGAAATTTCATATACATTATCTATAACTTCTCCCAAGTGTTTGTTTCTAAGATTGCCAAGAATGTCCTCAGTATAATATAACTCCCCTCCCACTTTTATGTAGTTATCCTTATCTACTTGAAGGTCTTCATTATGTATTTGTAGAGTATGAAAAAAAGAATGCTGAGGTTTCTCTATGATGAAAGAGACATTCCTGTACTTGTGTAGGAACAAGGCAATAAAAAACAAAGTAAACTCAAATTGCTCAACAAGATGCAGTGGGCTAGAAGAGATGAATACAGTTCAAATGATGAGCAAACTATGGAATGCCAAATGATAAAGAACGAGATGTCATGGAAAGGTAATCATGGGTCCCTATTGCAGGGCCAACTTCTGCTTTCACACTTTAGGATCTCTTGGCCTTGTGAATGCAGGCAAGTCAACTCGTTGCAGGAAGAATAAACAATGAATATAATGATGACAATGCTGTTCTGTTCCAGAACCCACCCACCAGAAGAGAGAGTGGCTCAGACCTGCCTGCAAACACTGGGAGAGACCCATCAGAGTTTTGGTCTGACTTGAACACACTGGAAGAGAACCTTGTACCATTACCCAACAGGAGAGAAAGAGACCTTACTCACACCCACCGGAAGAAGGGATGGGAAGACAACAATATAAGAACACATTCAGCAACAGAAAACACATTAGGATGCCATCAGAGAATAAGGACTGTACACCAGAAAAACCTAAACATTACAAAACTGATGAAGCAGAAAAGAACGCCCTTAAAAATAACTTAATGAAGATGATGGAGCCCTTAAAAGAGGAAATGAGAAAATCTTTAACAGAAATTGAAGAAAAAACAAACAAAAACTTCAGGAAAATGGAGGAAAAGACAAACCAAAAATTGCAGGAAACAATTCAATCAGTGTAAAGTTTGAAAGCTGAATAGAGAAAAAAATCACAGTCTGAGAGAATGGTAGAACTAGAAAAGATTAGTAAATGACCTGAAACTACAGAAGCATCCATAGCCAACAGAATACATAACATGGAAGAAGGAATCTCAGGTAGTCAAGATACACTAGGATAAATAGATTCATCGACAAGACAAAATCTTAAGTCCAAGAAATTCCTAGAAATATCAGACAATGTGAGAAGGCCAAACCTAAGAATAATATATATATAGAAGAAGGTTAAAAAAGTCAAAGGTGCAGAATATATATTCAACAAAATCATAGAAAACTTACCCAACCTAAAGAAAGACATGCCAATAAAAGCACAAGAATATTACAGAATACAAAACAGAGTGGAGCACAAATCATGCAAAATAAAGACAGAATATTAATAGCAACACAAGAAAAGACCAAGTATCATATAAAAGCAAACATATCAGAATTGCATGGAAACTCTGAAAGACAAAAGA